TAATACTATTTTTATCGCTTAAGTATATTATATATTTATCGTTATAGTATATAGTCTAACTAAGGAGTTTATACTTTAGTTCTTATTTATTAATAGCGTTTAAGTATTTCTTACTTTCTAAGGTTAGTACTTAGTAGGTTTTCTTCTCCTTATAAGGTTATTTATATTCTTTAAAGTAATATTTAAGTTTCCTATAGTTAAAATACTTTCTTTTACTTTTCTATATTATATCTAGATATATCCTACCTAGGTTAGTTATATAGGCATAGGAGTTTGCGTTTTTTATAGTTAGCGCGTCGGTTAAAGTTATTCTTATAAGAAGGGTTTTAGTTTCTTCTTTCTTATTTCTTTTCTTAGCGTCGCGTATACTATCTATTATCGATTTATACTACTATAGTAATATAGTCTAAGAGGTTATTAGGTCGATTTTCCTTATAAAGCTTATTTTTAACTTCTTCTTTAAGCTTATTATAGAATTATAATATAAGGGGTTTATTATCTTAATTAAGCTTTAAGGTAACTTAATAGAACTTTATAGTATAATCTAATACTAAGATCCTTTATTAGAGTTCTTAGAGTTTCTATTTAGCTTTTTATTCCTCGTTAGTTATTTTAAATACTTTTATAATAGCTTCTTTAAGTCCTTAGAAACTAATAAAGACTTTATCTATCTTATTATCTCGTCGCGCTAGTTAGTTATCGAGAAAGTCCCTTATAATAGGTCTAAACTAAGCGTATACTATTTTAGATAAATAATTTCCTATATAAAGTACTTTTTTAACTAGGTCTAAGAGTTTAATAAAGTAAAACTAGTAATAGGCCTTAAGTTAAGTAAGAAAGTCTCGAAGTATACTATAAGTACTATTAAATAGTCCTAGCTATTTTAGTTTAACTATTTTTGTCTTAACTTATCTATTACCTTCTTTATTCTTAAGTAACTATACCTTATATCGAAGGGCGATAATTTCGCGTATTATATCCTAAGGCAATATAGTAGCTCTAAAGTTAGTTAATCTAGCTTACTATATAGGTATATTAATAGTTATAATATTACTTAAAGTAACGCGGTATTATATTAAATAAGAGCTTTTAATATATAACGACCGGTATTATTCCTAAGGGATAAACCTATTAAGGGGTTTATATTAGTAGATATAATAGGGCGTAGTCTAAGTAATAATAAGTATATTATATTAGTAGAGGTTATAGACTATAGACTATAACTAGGTAATTAAAATTAAAGATAGAATCGTAATAAAGATCTATATTAAAAGCTAGAGAGCTATCTATCTAAAAGAGTAAAAGTAAGTAGCTATATATACCTATAAAGACTATCCTTAGATTATAGGCCTAGCTATAATCCCTAACGTTAGATCGTATAAAGTATAGTAATCCTATTAATTCTAGATTACTTAGATCTCTATAATCCCCTTAATCCTATATTTATTAGATAGTTATTATTACGACCACGGCTACTAGGCCGCTAACGGTCGACCGCGTTAAGCACGTAACACGGTCTAACGGATAAATAGTCGGCACGACTATTTAATAGATATAGGATTAAGGGGATCGTAGAGATCTAAGTAATCTAGGATTAATAGGATTACTACGCTTTATACGATCTAACGTTAGGGATTATAGCTAGGCCTATAATCTAAGGATAGTCTCTATAGGTATATATAGCTACCTACTTTTACTCCTTTAGATAGATAGCTCTCTAGCTTTTAATATAGATCTTTATTACGATTCTATCTCTAATTTTAATTACCTAGTTATAGTCTATAGTCTACGACCTCCGACTTATTACTAACGTAATATACTTATTATTACTTAGACTACGCCCTATTATATCTACTAATATAAACCAAGAATAATACCGGTCGTTATACGTTAAAAGCTCTTATTTAGTATAATACCGCGTTACTCTAAGTAATATCGTAACTATTAATATACCTATATAGTAAACTAGATTAACTAACTCTAGAGCTACTATATCGCCTTAGGATATAATACGCGAGATTATTACCCTTCGATATAAAGTATAGTTACTTAGGAATAAAGAAGGTAATAGATAAGTTAGGGACCTTAGAGAAGTAGTTAAACTAAAATAGCTAAGACTATTCGACGGTACTTATAGTATACTTTAAGACTTTCTTACTTAACTTAAGGCCTACTACTAGTTTTACCTTACTAAACTCTTAGACCTAGTCGAAAAGGTACTCTATATAGGAAATTATTTATCTAGAACGGTACTTACTTAGTTTAGACCTATTATAAGGGACTTTCTCGATAACTAACTAGCGCGATAAGATAATAAGATAGATAAAGTCTTTACTAGTTTCTAAGGATTTAAAGAAGCTATTATAAAGGTATTTAGAATAACTAATAAGGAACGAGAAGCTAAATAGAAACTTCGAGAACTCCGATAAAGGATCTTAGTATTAGATTATACTACGAAGTTCTATTAAGTTACCTTAAAGCTTAATTAGGATAACGAACCTCTTATATTACGATTCTATAATAGGCTTAAAGAAGAAGTTAAGGATAAGCTCTATAAGGAAAATTAACTTAATAACCTCTCGAACTATATTACTATAGTAGTATAAATCGACGATAGATAGTATGTATACGCGATGCTAAGAAAAGAAATAAGGAAGAGGAAACTAAAACCCTTCTTATAAGAATAACTTTAACCGACGCGCTAACTATAAAAAGAAGCGCGAAACTCCTATTGCCTATGCCTATATAACTAACCTAGGTAGGATAGATCTAGATATAATATAGAAAAGTAAAAGAAAGTATTTTAACTATAGAAAACTTAGATATTACTTTAAAGAATATAGATAACCTCGTAAGGAGAAGAAAACCTACTAGGTACTGGCCCTAGAAGGTAAGAAATACCTAAACGCTACTAATAGATAGGAACTAAAGTATAAACTCCTTAGTTAGACTATATATTATAATAATAAATATATAGTATACCTAAGCGATAAGAACGGTACTAGATAGTTCTTAAAGCTATTAAGGAAAACCCTTATAATAATATAATAAAGGGATCCTAAAATATAGAAATAAGTTAAATTTATAAAACTAGAATACCCCTACCTTAAAGGAGTCTCCTAAGACTAGATTAAGAAGAATAGTAAACGATTCTAGGAAGATATACGAAATAAAAATCGATAATAACGATAGGTAGTCTATAAATAATATAATAAAGAAGATATAGATATAGCCTTTATACTTACGAAACTTAGATAATAACCTAAGGAAGAATAACGAAGTATTAACGATATAAGCTCTAAAAAATAAGAAATACCTAGAGAAACGGAAGATAAGAACGAACTTATACTACTACCCTCGCTACTAAGGGAAAATACTATAATTAGAGAACACGCTCTATACTTTAAAGAATTTAAAGAAATACTTAAAATTAGAACCTAATAAATACCTTAAATTCTCACGGAAAACTAATAAGCTATACTAATTTAATATTAACCGGTACTATATAGAGGAGACTATACTATAGCTATCGCCGTAGTCGATACCTTTATAGCTCTATAACGAGAATAGTAACTATAAGGAGAATTTAAAGACGATCTATAAATACTACTTACTTATAAGTACTATAAGTATATTTTATAGATATTATACGTCTACCTAGATTATATAATATACTTCTAAGTAAAGGCACGATACGACGCCTTCTTAGTTAGGTTTAAGGGATAAGTACTTTCGAAACCCTACCTAAGTATAAAACTAAACTACTAGAAAATCGATTAACGCTACCTAAACGACTAAGTTATATTATTAGAACCCGATTATAGCACGCTACTTAAATACCGCGATAATTACGGTTTATTAACGAGATATCTTTCGGAGATATATAAAATCTATAAACACGCTAAAATAAAAGAATAGTATAACGCTACTCGCTCTAAGATATCTAAACCCTTAATCTTTTAAAGACTTATGTAATAAGTTAAATATAACGAAGAAGATTATAACGAATATATATACCTAAACTATAAAGTTTATAAATATAAAAAAGCATAAGTATAGTATAAACGATATAACGGTATACTAAAAGATTATTAGTAATATATATAAAGGCTATAAGCCGTATTTAACTAAGGAAAAATCGATATAAAAATACTACGTACGAAATAGAAAGATATAAAACGAAAACTTAACCTTTAGTACGAAAACGAATAGAATTGCGAAGTATAGTATATAATTAACTACGAAGTAGTATAATATAAACGATATAGCGTTAAGAAATAAGAAATCTTCGATTAGCTATAAGAAATTAGTCTCTTAAGCCCTAATATAATACTATACAACGAAAATATAAAGAAACGATATTAATAATAAATTAAAGAAGAATACCTAAATAAACGAATAAGGACTAAGTAAAAAACGAGGTACGCTATCTATAAAAGGGCTATAGACTAGCACGATACGATAAGATCTAAGGACCCTATATATAGCAACGGTAAGCTATAGCGACTAAATAGTATTAGATATTTAAATCGCAGGATATTATATACGTATACTTTTAAACTATAGCGCGATAGGCAATTACGTTTTACTTAAAGTCGTTAATCGTTACCGACTTATTGTCGGAACTGACGGGTAGAAACACATGTCGGATCACGTGCACCATCACGTGCAGACACCGGGCAAATCCGGCAGCCAATTTCCCCTTTAGGGACGAGGCCTCCTTGGAGGCCTCAAGAAGAAAAAAGAACACAGATCATCACAATCGATACAACCTCTTTTGCAGCTGCACACAAGCTGCTGCATTAAGCCTTGATCCATCGTACATACCCACATATTTCCTCATTAGGCCCGAGCCGCAGAACCACCGTTCTGACAATTAAGAGTCTCACATCTCTATTTGCTACCAACCATCCATTACGAAAAGGCTCCTTTGAGAAATACCAACAACCCGAATACATAGCGATCGAAATATACCTATAAAACACCCAACACTAAGCAAGATGGACACCAACACGAAAAAGATGGAGGTCTTGCTCAACAACCCGCAAGATTGGTCCATCTGGAACAACAAGTTCCACGCTCACGCCTGCGACCGAAAGCTCTGGCTGTGGATTGCCAACGACCCTGCCGCTGGGCTCCTCAAGAGGTTCCCGGCCGAGCCAGTGCCTCCAAACTTTGCGGAGCTGCAGACGGCCCCAGAGAGAGATAGGGCCCAGAAAGAATACTCCCAACAGTGGCAAATCTACACCCATCACTTTCGACTATACGAAAAACAGGAAGACTCACTCCGCGAGCTTCGGGACTGGATCTCAAAGACGATATGTCATACATACTATCAGACCTGCTGCAACCCCGATGAGTCCTTGCGCGTGTGGTACGCAAAGCTGCAAAAACACGCCAAGGGATCACAGGAAGAAGTTCTCCGCACTCTTCAAAACAACTACGAAGATGCAGTCAAGCCTCTCGTGAAGGCCCCTCGAAACTGTCACCTCTGGTTGGATACCTGGAAGAAAGCCATGAACGAAGGAATCCAGGAGGGCCTCCCAGAAGCTTTCCACCACTCAATTTGGATCCGCGACTTCTTTAAGGCTATCTCGCCACAGTTCCCCGCGTGGGTGACATCAGTCCAAGTATCTGGAAGAACAAGAGACCTAAGTTTCGACATGCATACCATGTCAAACATATTCACCGAATTCATCGACACCCTACCTGCAACACCCACCGTGGTGAAGAAGGAGCCTTTGGCCCAACCTACAACGACAAGGGCAAGTCCAACAAGAAAGGAAAGAGGCCAAGAGCCCCTACTACCAACGAACAAGGACAAAAGCTCTGCAGACTCTGCGATCTCAACGGCCATACCATCGAAAAATGCTGGAGCGTCGACCCAAAAGGCGCCGCCAGCTGGTGGCCTGGGAAGAGGGCAGACATCATAGAGAAGAACCTTCAAGATCCAGAGATCGCCAAGGAGGTAGAAAAACTCAAAGGAAAGAAGAAGACGGTGCACTGGGAAGACAACAAAGACGATTGACTCGTACGAGCGATGGGGAAGGTTTCAATCGCGTCTTTCCTCATCACTCTTCCTAGTCAGGTCAAAGGATCATTTACTGTTGATTCCTACCCTCTATGCCACTCTTCAATCCTTGATTCTGGATCCACAATCCACATCTTCATCGAGATCACTCGATTCATCAACTTCCACACAGCCCAAGAAGGAGACTTCCTCTGGGCCGGCGAGGACAAGGTCCCTATCCAGGGATACGGCGACGTCGACATCCAGGTCAAGACTCCAATAGGATCAAAGGTGCTTAGGCTGCTCGATGCCGCCTACTGCGAGAATTTTGCTTGCAACCTCGTCTCTTACCAGCTACTTAAGAAACAGGGTATTTGGTGGGATGAAGACCCAAGCAGGAAACCAAGCCTGCGCGCCCCTGACCGAAGCATCGTCGGCCTCGTGGAACGACGCCATGGTCAATTTGTGCTTGAATATATTCCTCAACATTTCTCGAGGCGGGCATTCTTCACCCGCCGAAACACATTCAATTCCTTCACCAAGCGGAAGCCTCAAAAGGCATCAGCCGAGGTATGGCATCTGCGACTAGGACACCCTGGACCTAGGGCCCTAGAACACCTTGTCAACTGCTCCAGAGGAGTTAGAATCAAGGGAATCACCACCGCGCAATGCGACAATTGCGGGACAGCAAAGGCAAAACGGATGATTCGACGAGAGCCTCGCACTGCAGACCACTGTAAAGGCGAGAGACTGGCGATCGATTTTCACGACCTTCAGCCTGATTCGAAAGGATTTAACTCCCTGATGCTTCTCACCGATAGAGCAAGCGGCTTTTCTTGGGACTACTACCTCCAAGATCGGAAAGCCGATACCATCATCACTACCCTTAAACACGCTGTCGACTACCTTACGTACCAATTTGACTTTAAGGTCAAAGTCATCGAATGCGACAATGAACTAACGAGCCAAAAGCCGGCAGTTACACAGTTCCTGCTCGGAAGAAACCTCAAAGTCGAACCTCGGCCCCTTACACTCAAGACCAAAACGGAGGTGCCGAGCGCTCAGGGGGTGTGATCAAAGACAAGGCACGTGCAATGAGAGGCAACCTTCCTTCGAAACTGTGGAGAGAAGTTTACAAATCTGCCGTCTACCTCAACAACCGCACGCCAAAATGCAGAATTAAGTGGACTTCGCCATATGAAGATCTAACAGGGAGAAAGCCCGCACAAGAGCATCTCCGAGCTTACGGCTGCAAAGCCTTTGCTATGACTCCATCAACCCAAGACAAGAGGAATCGCCTCAAGAAACTTGACCCACGGGCTTGGATAGATACCTTGTGGGATACACGTCCTCCAACGTATACCGAATTTGGGTACCATCAGAAGGCAAAGTGATCTCTACCTGAGACGTTATTTTTGACGAGCAACAGATTTTCGATGGAACACTCGAGAGCCTCGCTCAAAACGTCAAGGAAGCAGACCTCGAGGAGCTAGCTCTAGCCCTCACACATAAGTCTTCCAGAAGACGACGAAATCGCCCCGAAAGCAGCCCCACAGGCGCTTGACGAGCAAATCTTCGAATTTGACCACGATGACGATGACGAGCACACAGCAGAGCCTGAGAAAGACCCGGAAGGTCAGGAAAGTCGATACACAGAAGCCCGATTCGAGCTGCTACCGACGCCTCCTTCAACTCCTCCGGCGGCCCTGCTTGCCGCATCAATACAAACAAATCTGCCTGAAAAGCGAGTTGATCTCAACGAGCCCCAGGAAATCATCCATCAGCAGGGTCAAGGAATCCTTCCCTCGCACATTGATGGAAGCTCACATTGGGAATCTTCCCTCGAGCACGCCTGGCTGGGAACACTTCCCACGCACAGTGCAAATCATGCCCGGCAACGAGGAACCCTCAAGCTTGGAGCAGTGGAGCAAGGAATCCTTCCCACACAAACACACTGCGTTGAGGAACCCTCTTCGCAGCAAGGCGAAGGAATCCTTCCTTGCAACAATCACGTGTTGAGGAACCCTCTTCACGGCAAGTAGAAGGAACCCTTCTCTTGCACCCATACCCATGCGTTGAGGAACCCTCTTCGCAGCAAGGCGAAGGAAGCCTTCCCTTGCGACAATCACGTGTTGAGGAACCCTCTTCACGGCAAGTAGAAGGAACCCTTCTCTGCAACCACATCCACGCGTTGAGGAACCTCGTCGCAGCGAGCAGAGGAACCCTCTCTCGCAACAACCACACCGCTTTGAGGAATCCTCTCAGCAGCAGGGTCAAGGAATCCTTCCCTCGCGTAAACACACAGCCAACTGGCATGCCGCCTTCATGGCAGGCACACAAGCAGGACCACTTGCAAAAGACAAGCTGAGCCACAAGATTAAAGACAAAGCATATCTTGAACGGCTGATCATGAAGAAACAGATCCATCGCCGAGACCTTCCAGACGTGCCGAAACACCACTCCCAACTGCGAGACCACCCTCTCGGACATCAATTCGAGGAGGCAGAGGAAGTACACCTTCAGAGCCATAAAGACATGAAGTCTTGGTTCGAGGTGAGCTCTACAGAGCTCCCGAAGAAGGCCCAAGTGCTTGACTGCATGTGGGTTTACGTATACAAATTCGATAAGCACGGGAGGCTCTCAAAATGCAAGGCAAGACTGGTGGTGCGAGGGGATCAACAGCTCCGAAATGGGCAAGAAACCTACGCAGCCACGCTTGCTGGAAGAAGCTTTCGCACATTGATGGCGATGGCGGCAAGGTTCGACCCCGAACTGATCCAATACGACGCTGTCAACGCGTTCGTAAATGCCTCTCTTGATGAGGAAGTCTTCATGAAGATGCCACCAGGCCATAGGAAACACGGGACCGTATTGAAGCTTAACAAAGCCCTTTACGGATTGAGGAAATCACCATTGCTGTGGCATCGAGAGCTCACCAACACGCTCAAGAAGCTCGGCTTCAAGCCAGTGCCACACGAGCCCTGCTGCCTCACCTCAACGGAATCATCGTTTTCTTCTACGTTGACGACATCGTCTTCGCATATCAGCGAAAGAACGAGACGAGGGCGCAAGCCCTGGAAGCACAAATGCGTGAGAAATACCAGCTGACAGGTGGTAACAGCCTTCAGTGGTTTCTTGGCATCGAGATTCTTCGAGACCGCGAGAAAGGCTTCATTTGGCTATCACAAGCCTCATACATCGACAAGATCTCGCGCCTCGCGAAGAAACACAGGAGCTTTGACACCCCGATGGGGGTTAACGAACTTTTCCCATTCAACGGCATTGCTTCATTTGCTGACATCAATTCGTACCAAGTGAAAATAGGCTCCGTGCTATACGCTGCGGTTATCACGCGCCCAGACATCGCGTTTGTAACTTCAAAGCTATCAAAGTTCAACTCCAACCCGGGACCCAAACATCACGAAGCGGCCGACCGCGTGATCTGCTATCTGCAGCAGACAAAAGGGCTGGCGCTCCGCCTGGGGGGTGGGGACGATTTCGAAGTGGCAAGCGATGCCTCTTTCGCCGACAACTCATCAGACCGCAAGAGCTCTCAAGCTTTCGCAATGAAGCTATTTGGAGGCCTCATCGGCTGGCGAGCAAACAAACAAGACACTGTCACCACTTCAACCACAGAGGCGGAGCTACTTGCCCTCACAAGCGGCAAAGGAATCGATATACGTGAGCCGCCTGATCCGAGAACTCGACGTAAAACTCGACCACTCGAATCAGCATCCAATGCGACAACACGCAAACAATACGCATCGTAACCGCGGAGGTGGCAACGCTACGAACCAAGCTGCGGCACGTCGACATTCACAACCACTGGCTTCGCCAAGAAATCACGAACGGAACCCTCGAAGTCAAATACACACCAAGCGCCGAGATGATGGCCGACGGTCTCACCAAGGCCCTCCAAGGACCTAAGTTCCAAGCCTTTGTCAACCAAATCGGCCTCCACGATATCTCCGACCGCCTTGCGTCACGAGAGCTCCCCGAATCGACCGACTCAATACTTCAAGAACAATCATACAAGATGTGGGAGGACCAAGTTGTGTAAGGCAGCACATAGCAGCGGCCTAGAAAGAAGGGCCCTTTGCCTACGGGCACTGTAGACTGCAGGGGGGATTCCTCCATGAGTCAGGGAGCAAGAACATGATCATGGGCCAGCCTCCCACTCTTCCACATGGAAGAGGGCTCGGCTGGGGGGGTGTGTCGGAACTGACGGGTAGAAACACATGTCGGATCACGTGCACCATCACGTGCAGACACCGGGCAAATCCGGCAGCCAATTTCCCCTTTAGGGACGAGGCCTCCTTGGAGGCCTCAAGAAGAAAAAAGAACACAGATCATCACAATCGATACAACCTCTTTTGCAGCTGCACACAAGCTGCTGCATTAAGCCTTGATCCATCGTACATACCCACATATTTCCTCATTAGGCCCGAGCCGCAGAACCACCGTTCTGACACTTATATAGAGATATAAGAAAGATCTATATAAACTTACGAATATTAAAGGAGAGGCCTTTAACTATAATAACGGAATTATTAATATAGAGATTAATTACCTTAATATTAATATCTAGGGCTACGACGAACGAGTTAACTTCGATATTATAGATATTAAAGAACACGACCTTATATTAGGACTTCTATAGCTATAGGAGAGCAACCTACTAATTAACTAGAAAACTAGCTAGCTATATTAAAACGAAGATATAAGTTTCTAGGACTAGTAGATTTAAAAGAAAGTAAAATTTTACGATAATTTAGCTACTAAATAGGATAAAAGGGATAACCGTTTAAGTAAATTATTATAGGCTTTAGCGATATAAACGAAAATAGTAACCGAACTAGCGGATATAATAAAATCGACTAATAAGACCTATATACTAACTAATATAGCTATATAACCTAGCATCCGATATAAATAGAATAAAGGATATAATACGAAGATCTAAAGAGTTATTACTACTCTAAGGAAAGACCTTAAATAAATTAATAAAGAGCTTAAGTTAAGAGAAACTAGCTCTTAAAAGAAAGAATAAAGCCTATAAGATAGAATAAAGAATATCCCCTAGGAATACCGGAAATACGATAAACTCTTTAAGGAAGAACTTAAGATAAGGTTACCTAAATATAGCTAATAGGACTATAAAATTTATCTTAAGGATAAAATAACGCCGACGTTCTATAAGATCTATAACCTAAACGAAAAGCAACTATAAATGCTACGCGACTACCTCGACGAGAATCTATAAAAGGGATATATATAAATATTAATATCCAAAGTAGGCTATCTAGTTATATTTATTCTAAAGAAAAATAGTAAGCTACGACTAGTTATCGACTATAGACGCTTAAACGATATTATAATAAAGGACCGAATACTATTACCGCTTATATCGGAACTATAAGATCGATTATATAGTAAAAAATAGTTTATAGCCCTCGATCTTAAAGGCGCCTATAACTTAATATATATAAAAAAGGGATATAAATAGATAATAGCCTTTAGAACGAAATTCGGACTATTCGAATATCTAGTAATACTATTTAGACTTATAAATATACTAGCTACCTTCTAATAGATAATTAATAATATCCTACGCGAATACTTAGATATCTTTATAGTAGTATACCTAGATAATATCCTAATCTTCTCGGATACCCTAGAAGAATATAAGGAATACGTCTATAAGGTACTCCGCGTACTTTAGAATATAAAGTTATTAGTTAAACTAAAGAAAAGTAAGTTCTATATATAGGAAGTAGACTTCCTTAGATATATAATCTTACTAAGAGAGATATAGATATAATAAGATAAGATTAACTTAGTTAAAGAATAGCTAACGCTAAAGAACGTTAAGGACGTATAAAGTTTCCTAGGATTTATAAATTACTACTAACGATTTATTAAAGATTTCGGAAAGATTATAGTACTACTATATAACTTAACGAAGAAGGAAAAAGGATTTATATAGGATAATAAAGCTAACGAAGCTTTCGAATATATTAAGACTATAATTATATAAGAACTAGTCTTAACTACCTTCGATCTAGAACGATAAATCGAACTCGAAACCGATATATTAGACTTTACTCTAAGAGTATAAATCGGATAAAAAGATAATAAAGGAAGACTACGACCTATTATATTCTATTCGAAGAAGCTATATAGCGTAGAACTTAATTACCTTATCTACGATAAAGAATTCCTCGTAATTATCTAAGCTTTTAAGGAATTTCGATACTACCTTCTCGGAAGTAAGTATAAAGTTAAGGTCTATATAGATTATAAGAATATCTTATATTTTATAACGACGTAATAGTTAAACGGACGATAGATCCAATAGGCCGAATACTTATTAGAATTCGACTACGAAATAATCTATAAAAAAGGAATAGAAAACGGTCGAGCTAATACCCTTAGTCGACGAAGCGACTACGATATAGGGGCACCTATAGCGAAAGGACAGCTCCTAGAAATCAACGAAAATAGGAACTACTAGTAACGATAGCTAAATATAATATTTAAAGTATAACCCGATAACTCGATATACTAAAAGATCCTAAAATAGATAAAAGAACACGAAGTATTAAAGGGATACGATATAGAATATTTAGAAGTTCTAATATATAAGAATAAAATCTAGATACTACTAGAATTATAAGATAAAGTTATATAAGATATATATAAATATCTAATATATAGATACTAAGGAATCCGAAGAATAATAGAACGGATTAAATAATAATATAACTTCTTATAGCTTAAAGAAGTAGTACGATAAGTTATTAAAGAATATAAACTTTACGTATAAAGTAAAGCTAAACGATATAAACTATACGGAGAATTATAACCGCTACTAGTACTAGAGAAACTATAGGATTCGATAGCTTTCGACTATATTATAAAGCTACTACTATTAAAAGAACCTATAACTAACGTTAAATATAATAGCATATTTATTATTACCGATAGATTAATAAAGTATAGATACTTTTTACCGTATAAAGAAGTAAGTAATATAGAAGAGCTAGTATATATATTCCTATAAATAATTATTAGTAATTACGGACTACTAAATAAGATTATCTCTAATAAAGGAAGTATATTTATAGCTAAGTTTTAGCAAGCTCTTATAGTATAATTAAGGACGAAATATAAGCTTAGTATAGCTTATTACCTATAAATAGATAGATAAATAGAACGACTTAACTAAACGCTTAAATAATATTTATAATGCTATATTAGTTACGAATAAAACGATTAAGTTAAATAGCTACTAATAGCGTAACTAGCTTATAATAGCTTAGTTACGGAAATAACTAAGCTCTTACTAGTATACGCTAATTATAGATATAACCTAGAAGTATTTAAGGTTACTTAATAAGGACTATAAGCGGAACGAGCGATATTATAAGTAGATTAGCTATAAAAATTATATAAAGAAATATAATAAGAACTTTAATTCGTTAGAAAACGAATATTTACTTACTATAATCGGAAAAGATTATAGGGACTAATCTTTCGAGAGGGAGATATAGTCTACCTCGTACGACGAAACATTAAAATAAAACGACTAAGTAATAAATTAGATTTTAAGAAACTTAGACCGTTTAAGGTTAAGAAAGCTATTTTAAAAGTTAACTACGAACTTTCGCTACTAATAATAATATAGATATACCTAATATTTTATATCTTATTATTAGAACTAGCGCTACGAAACGCTAAACTATAGGAAAAAATCGAAGTCGATAACGATTAAAAATATAAAGTAGAATAAATACTAGATATAAGAAAATAAGGTTAGTAATAAGAATACCTTATTAAGTAGAAGGGATACGGACTAGAGGAAAATACCTAGGAACTACTTAAGCACTTAACCTACTATAGCTCTCTACTTCGATAATTTTACTAGAAGGTTTAGGAGGGATTAAAGGACTAAGATCCGTAAACTCCTCGCTAACACCGAACGAGGACTAATTCGCCTTATTAGGAATACCTAACGATTATAAATTATTTACTACCTAATGCTTATACGCATCGAGCGTAGGCGAAACGCTATCCTCGGCATCTACTTCTTAGATACTACGACGAAATAACTTAGAACTCTTTTCCTTCGCACGATTCCGAATCTTCTAGATATAAGCTAAACGATTAACGGCGATAGATATTTGCGACTAAAGGTTCGTAAGCTATGCCTAAAGCTCTAATAAGGCTTCTCTAGCTTCCTCCTCTTTAGAATATAGCCTACGCTACTCCGCTAATAATTTAGTTACTAGAAGAAATATATTAGCTACTATATATAGAAAGAATTAGAAAACACCTATAAGAAGAGGCAACTAAAACACTATTATAATAGGGACGACTACTAGCAATATAATTATTATAGCGCGAAGAATTTTCGGCTATCTAATAATTCGTCTTCTTCGCCTTAAAGCATCGAGTACACGGTATATCGGTAGGATCTCTACTTAAGTCGATATATTCGGTAAGAGCAGCGCGCTCGGAGGCTTTTCGGGAACGATTTTTTAGTATATAACTAGATATACTATTAGTAGCATATCCCGAAAGGATAAAGAAACAAGGAACGATATACTTACGCACGACGCAATAAGGGTATATTTATATACGGCGGCTAAGGCAGCTATAGTAGGTCTTACGGATAAGACTAAAAGGAGGGGAGACATCGTATTACGACCACGGCTACTAGGCCGCTAACGGTCGACCGCGTTAAGCACGTAACACGGTCTAACGGATAAATAGTTAGCACGACTATCTAATAGATATAGGATCGAGGGGATCGTAGAGATCTAAGTAATCTAGGATTAATAGGATTACTACGCTCTATATAATCTAACGTTAGGGATTATAGCTAGGCCTATAATCTAAGGATAGTCTCTATAGGTATATATAGCTACCTACTTTTACTCCTTTAGATAGATAGCTCTCTAGCTTTTAATATAGATCTTTATTACGATTCTATCTCTAATTCTAATTACCTAGTTATAGTCTATAGTCTATAACCTCCGACTTATTACTAACGTAATA